TCTATTTGATTCTATTCTATTCTACCTTATGATTTTTGATGAATGTACCTTTTCTTTTTATGTACACTGAGAGCATTTGCACCAAGACAAATTCCTTGGGTGTCTAATCACACTTGGCCCATAAAGAATTCATTCATTCATTCATTATTCATTCCAAATTGTACACTAAAAATCTGTAGAGATTCTCAGTCCATCCAGGTCATGGGTTGTCCCAAAGGTGCTTTTTTTTTTTTTCTTTTCAGGCGGGAACTGGACTTTCTTGTCGTTTCCTTTGAAGACCATTTCAAAGAAACCATTCAAAGGGTTCTTCCCTCCCGCCTTTTGCCGCTCACCCCCTGGCCCGCGAAGGGTTAAAACCATCGAGTTTGGCACCGGCCAGAAGGACCAGGAAGAAACTTGCGCGGCGGTTGGGTTCCTTCCTGTTCCTGGAGGGGGAGGAAAAAGGGGCGAGTTGCAAAGGGAGGGGGGAGGGGAGGGGGGAGAGAGAGAGAGAGAGAGAGAAAGAAAAAAAAACCCACCCGAGGTTGGTGGGTTTTGCAGTCCCGGGTTTTTGCTTTCTCTCCTGTCCCGTTGCAAGACCCGGGTTTCGGTCCTGCTGCAGAGGTGAGTTTTGGAAGGGAGGGATGCAAAGTCGGGGCTACGCCAAGCCCGCCCGATCTCTGTCCGGGTCCCGATGGCGGTTCCGCGCGCGGCGGATTCGCTACAGAGAAAATCTTTCCCGCTCGCTTCTCGGCTTTGCAGCTCCCCCGCCCCCGCTTGCACGCTTGCACCCATAAGGAACAGGTCCTTGCGCGGGTCGCAACTATCGGTCGATCAGAATGAGAGAGCTGGAGGGGGGACCCTTGGAGGTCTTCTAGTCCAACCCTTTGGCTCAAGCAGGAGAGCCCTACGGTACCCTTTCAGGCGGGGGGGCGGGGGGGCTGTCCAGCCTCTTCTTTAAAAGCCTCCCGTGATGAAGCGGCAGCGATAGGATGGAAGCACAAGCCGAGGGAAACGTTGGTCATACCCTTTTAGTCAGGCCAAGGAACAGGCAGAAGTCTGTCCAGAAACGTGGCTTGGCTTGGCATGTTGGCCTCCCGAAAATGCCCCTCCCGGTTTTCAGTCAATACCCCCCCCCCCCGCCCCGTTTTGTTACAAAGGGTGTGTCTGCAACTTCTTATTTCTTTTGTTTTTATCTATAGGTGATTCTCTGCTGGAGGCATAGAGTTACAGCAGGACACAGGGCTCCTGCACACCTGAGGAATATCACTCCTTCCTTCCTT